TGAAGGTGAGACAGGTAAAGATAGAGATCACAGGTGAGACACTGAAGGTGAGACAGGTGTGCAGACAGCTTTGACCTTCAGGTTGTGAAATAATGTGTTGAATCAATAAAACATAATAACTAATAATCAATACTAGAAACAGCTGATATCAGTGTTATTGATCGTATTGATACGTTTTCACTAACTTTCACTTTCTAATAAAAATATAATCTGAATATTAAAGAGCGTGTCAGCGACTGCGTCTGCGTCTGCGCTCGCCGTCTGACACAGGAAGTTCTTTGGCTCCGCCCACTGCTGTTTCCCTCAGCCAATCAGATTATTTCACACAGGTCAGAGGTCAGAGTATAAAGTCCTTATTTACTCCTCAGTGGTTTCCCTGAAACACAGAGAAAGAGAGAGAGAGAGGATATTAACCTGCACAGGTACGTCACACCTGTGCAGGTGAATATCTGTGACTGTAAAGTGATCTTACTGTTTCTCCAGCGGAAAAACAAACCTAGAAAACAAACAGAAACCAGACTGAACTTGATTTTAAACCTGGAGCTGATTTTAAAAGTCAAGATTAATGTACGTACATGAAAGGACTCGTCTCATTCGTTGTCCTGTTCGAATCTCTGAAAATGAAACAAAATATTATTTTTAAATATATATTATTAATAAAAAATATATTTATTGCTGCAGTCAAAATATTTCTCTTTGGTAAAATCATCGATTTCTGTGCAGAAACTAACAAAATACCACAAAGTAAAACACAGATATAACTTTAACGATATATATATATATATAGTAATATATAATAATATAATATAATAATAATAGTAATATAGTCAGTGTGTGAACTGACCGCGAGAAATCTTCCAGCGAGTTGTTGACACTTTGACGAGACTCAAATCTGAACACAAAACAGAAAAAACAAAATTATTTCACCGTAATTACAAAATATACTTTTTGTAAAATATATACATTTTGTATTTATCATAATCTCAGAATTAAAATGTCTAAAACTTACCTCATCTGTCATATTAAATCTGTACAACTCTGTACGAGGTTGTGATGTTATGTAATAAATTACAATCCGAGCCTATAATTATAATAATTGATTATATATATATAATCAATAATGATTATATATATATAATTATAGGCTTATTTAATTACAGGATTAATAAGGATTATTAAGGATTATTTTTCATACTTTTGAATCTTCTAATTTAGATTGAAGGTTAATAACCAGATTGTAAATATTTAATAACGTATAAAAGCTGCTTTATTTCCTTCAGACTCACCTGGTGGAGTTTTCCTCTTTGTTGATAAGCAGCTGAGGACTCACGTTGATCTGATCATCACGTCTACAAACAGGAAGTCATCTTCATCATCATCATCATCATCATCATCAGGACTCACATATTGATTCACACGAACCGATAAAGCTTCGTTACATTCGTTGAGTTTCAGTCTCACCTGGAGTCGTTGAGTGACGGAGGAAGAGGACCAGCAGAGACAGAAACCATCATCATCATCATCAGAAAGAGAGCGACAGACTGAACAGACTTCATGATCTGACCCACAACAGACAGAGAGAGAGAGAGAGAGAGAGCACGGTGGTCAGTCAGAGTGGGGGGGACTCGCCCTCTCACTCTGTATTTATACTCTAAGCAGATCCGAGGTCAGCGTCCCCTGAAGGTCCCCTGAAGGTCTCTCTGTCTGTATTTATAGTGTCAGATCCGAGGTCAGCGTCCCCTGAAGGTCTCTCTGTCTGCGGCATGAGTAACGAGGACTCTCAGTATCGTTTCAATATTGACTCTGTTGGTTAATCAGCTCTGAGATCGGCGTGAGAAAATACTGACGATGACATCAGAGCAATTTGTTCTTCTCTTATCTTTAAGTTGGTAGAAAAACATTCTTCTTTCAGCGCACACACACACACACACACACACACACACAAACACACACACACACAAAATAAACTTTAATATACAGCGAGAAAATAAGATTAGTGTCACATTAGTGCGTTTATTGTCATAATGAGATATTTTCATGTTATTACGACGTATATTTGTATAAATTTAACCTTTTAATTTGCAAACATTACTTCGATGAGTTGTGTTGACATAAATAAAGTGGAAAAACTAGTTGAAACTATTTAATTATTATGAGTACGCTATAATGCAACAAGTTATTTTAGCTTAATTGCTGAAATTGACACTATTTTAAATAACACAAACTCAGCTTCATAAGTTCAAAAAGATTCTTGATGAAGCAGTTTTTACTACTAATTATAAATGACATTAACTTAATGTTTTAAGTTACATTAACATTCCTGATTAAGTCGTTTTTATGAGGTATTTTGTTTTTACTGGACAAATAAAAATTACAAAATGAAGGTAATTAAATTTACTAAAACTACTTGATCAAGAATGTTTTAACTAACAAAATTGAGTTCAGAACTTATCTGGTTTCACAGTGTAGCCTAATCTTGTTTTTATGCTACCAATTATTAATTAAGTGGTAATTAAAAATGTGTTTGATTTTAGAGGAAAATCTGATTCCTTGAACTCAATGGTTTAAATTTGTTGAACATAATTTCATTAGAAGTTGTCACAACTTTACCTCAGGGGTCAGTATTGGGACTGAAATGGTTCATTGTGTAAATAAATGCAGTTGGATAATTTTTTAGAAACAACATATGTGTATGTAGATAGTTGTTTAAATGTGTTTATATATTAATATATTAAGAGGTAGGAATAAATAAATCTATAATCTATAAATATATACTTCCTCCTTTTTAAACATATTAAATTTAGTTGTTTATGAGGATTTATTCACTGAGTTGGTCTTTGAGGTTATTGTTCATTTAATTTTAATTATATAGTTTTTTTTCTTCAAAATAAATATAAACAAACATACAAACTTGTCATATAACAGTAAAGTTTTCACATAATAATGTGATTCAGATCTGTTATAACATGAGAACTTATATTATAATGTTGAATTTGGAAGCAGAGACAGAACGTCACAACCAACAAGATCATTTATTATATTCAAGATCTGTTATAAGTTAAAACATCTGGAACAAACACTGACAGACAGACATACGACTGTTTCCATGTTTTCATTTTCTTCCATCAGGAGATATTTTCAGCCGACGGGAAGGAAAACTTTACATTTATCAGCTGAGTTTGTGTCTAAAAAAAATAAATGAGTCACATTTTGCACTTCCTGAAAATAAAACTGAAAATGTTTTACACAACGATTAAATTCCACGAGGCAGAAATAAAAAGAGGAATGAACAAATCAATAAATTCAGTTATTAATACAGTTAATCCACTATCACTGTACAGGGAAACAAGTCAGGGACACTTATATTAATCACACGAGGTGTAAACAGAGCGTGTTTGTGTTTGGACAGTCTGTGGTTTATCGGAAGTCCTCGGCACAGAACATGCCCTTGGCGCGGCGCAGGATGGAGTCCTTGGACGCGTCGTAAGGATGCTCTTTGGACGGGATCTCCAGCACGGCTGGGATGGACTGCATGTGGCCGTCGATGGCGTGACGGATCATCTCGGCGATGAACTGGTTAATCAGGATGATGCCGATGTCGTTACGTGCCAAGAAGCTCCTGGAGGGATGAAGATGGAAGAGAGGCTTGAGTTTAGGCAGCAGAGAACACAAAACAACACACCAAACTCCATTCAAATTTCTATCAATTTAACACCCACTTTTCTACTGGAAAATGTACATTGAGTATAACAAATGTTAAGACATTTTATGAACTTATAAGAGCTATAGGAAAACTCAGCACTTAGAAAATCCCTAAGAAGAGTTTGATTCAATTAATATAAATGACTGAAAGATATTTTCATGTTATCTTCGACACTGAATTAAGAGAAATGTCAAACTATAAAATGGTGGATTTTTTTAAATGGAGTTTGGTTGAATGATTAGTTGGTGCAAAATGTATCACAAATCACATGCTAGAGGCTAAAACTAGGATTACTGACCACAAATACGACTAACCAAAGCCCATTTAAATAAGAAAATGTGAACTTAGTATAACAAAACTTTAAACATTTTATGTATTGATAGGAGCTAGCAGTGAATTCAGAATCCTTAATTATAGTATATTTAGTTATATTTAATATTATTTGCCGATTTACCATTTGGCATCAAACCTAAAACTATTGTATTTAAATTATACAAAGAACTGAAGTAAACCATTTAATTGACTGATGTTTTTTTAAATGGAGTTTGGTGTGAGGTTATGGATTAGTTCAGTAACTCTTTTAATGACAGTATCAGTAGAAGTATCACAGAGAGACTAAAACAGGAATTAGTCTAAAAGAAAAAGACCAAACCAATCTACATTCATATTACATCGAATTTAACATTCTGATTAATGCCTGAACACTGATAATTCGGTGTTTATAAAGGGTCCCAGTGTGATTTAATCTGCTGTTAGCTGATTTATTTGAGGGCCGAATTGACACTTGGCCTCTCCTGATTAGAATATTTACAGTCAATGAAATCAATTAATCCATATCCGAGTAAAACTGTGAATTGAGTGATTTTTGAACGGACTTTGGTTGGGAGTTCCACCGTGTTATTTGCTGAAGGTTCTTACTTGAAGGTCTCTTCGATCTCCGTGATGCTCGTGTCCTTTTCCACCACCAAGAAATTCGGTTTTCGGTTCTTGTTGAGCTCACCGATCCCACCGAGCAGGAAGCCGGTGCACGTGTCCTCGTCGCCAATAACGGCGATCAGTTTCCCGCGGCCGGCCATCGCTCAGCTGCAAATATATTTAAGATTTAACGCAGAAAAAAAACACCAAATAATTTATCTCCTGACCGACAGATGCTACAGATCATGTGAGGAGTCAGCTGATCGACACTTCCGGTTTAGTTCAAGCGCGCGGAAGCGAGAGCGCGCCCCCTGCTGATCGATAATTCAATCAGTTTAAACATTTTAAATGAGGTTTTGTTTAAAGTAAACACTGATCAATTGATCACATTCGTTTGTATTATTATATTTATATTCATGAATATAGTATGAGCGTGGGCTTGCTGACATCATCCTTAACCTCACACCAAACTCCATTCAAAAATCTATATTTAAAGTTTAACTTAGATATTAATTGATCGATTTTCTTCTGTTCTAAATATTTTAATCAGGAGGGTTCAAATGTTAATTCGGCGTATAAATATTCCCGCTAGAAGCAGATTAAACCACCTGAGACTTCATCTAAACACCAAATTCTCAGTTTTCCAGCCTTAATCAGAATCTTAAATTTGTTGTAATTTGAACGTTGATTGGTGGCTTTAGACCGCAACATGCTGCCTTCAGGTGCAGTCTGTAAACATCAGCTTCAAATCTTTAAATGCCACAATATAAACGTTTTTGCCTTTAATTCAGTTTGATCAGACAGGAGGTTTCACAGTCTTATTCACTACTTCATTGTTTGATTCTTTTTACCTTTTTTCACATTAATATTAGTCACAAATACATATCCGACCATAACTTCTCCTTGTTATACACTTGCTTCCATTAATTGGGGTTTTGCCTTATTTTTCCGGTTCTGTCTTTTTTGTGTGCGTAACTGTAAATATCTACTGGTAGCAATTTAAAATTAAATTTTAAACATTTTTAAACATTTTAAACATTTGAAATTGCACTTGTATGTGTGCTGTTACTGTTGCTGTGGTGTAAGCATTGATGCCTTTATGCAAAAGGAAGTTCCTAACAGATAAATAACGTTATTTTGAATTGAAATGAACAGAGAAAGTTACAAAACTCAAAGCGGCTCCACAGAAACAGCTCATCAGCTCGTAATGATGCGACTGTTCAGCCTGAAGAAAAATCTCATTTAAAACTTCATTAAATTAATAAATATGTGAAAATAAAGTAAAAGGGAAAATGAAAATCCTAATAATAAAGTTACAATTCTTAAAACACATTTAATTTAAATCTGACCCCAAATGCAAATGTTGAGTTCTGTGATTTCCCACAGTACCTGAAGGCCTCAACAGTCACGTGGAAAATCACACGGAAAGACGGAAATGCAGCTGAGCTACAACTTGTGACAACAACAGAAGAAGAATGGTGAGTTCTGGTGTTTGTAATGTTTTATTTTTTAATATAAATCATTAAATTAAAGTTATTTGAGCTCCGTGTGGCGTTCATGTGAGTCGGAGTTTACAGTTTTTGTCGGGCACCATGAGCTGTTAGCTTCGCACTGATCCGGCTGTTGTTTGCAGACTACAGCGGCTCTGACTGCGGGTCTGGAGCGGATCCCGGATCAGCTCGGGTACCTGGTCATCAGCGAGGACGGAGTTCTGGCTGTAAGTGGAGAAAGACCTTCAGACCAAAGTCCATTCAACTTTCTGTGTGTTTAACGGTGATTACTGCAGCCAGAATATCAGAAGCACAGCAGAGCCTGTTGTTGTTGTTGTTGTTATTATCGATGTAAAATGATCTGAATTATCTTTAAACTGCTTAATTTATACATGAAGTCTTTGTTTAATAATTTAGAAGTTAAAAAATTACAAAGCTTTATTGGAATTAATAGATAAGAAATTGTTAAATTGATTGAATTTCTGAGTGTCATTGTGTCACTGCAGTTGTTACCACCATTACTGTAGTCTTTGTTACTGTAGTTCTTATGAATGTTATTGTTGTTTTTATGTTATTGTTGTTTTTATATGTTATTGTAGTTCTTATGAATGTTATTGTTGTTTTTATATGTTACTGTATTTCTTATGAATTGTTAATTCGTTGTTTTTATGATGTTCTCGGTAGTTATTATATGTTACTGTTTATTAGCAGTGTGTTTTTATATGTTACTGTAGTTTCAGTGACAAAGTTTTACAGGAATGAAAAGATACAGATTTGTTAAATTGACTGAATTTTGAATGGAGTTTGGTGGACAGAAAACTGAAGACATTATTTATAAAATATAAATATTCTTTAATGAGTGCAGTTAGACTTTCAGAGAGAATCTGTGACCCTCCTGACCTTTGACCCCCCCCATCATCAGTCTGCAGGTGAGCTGGAGAACGACGAACACACAGCAGGTGTGATGATGCAGATGGTTCGAACAGCGAGTCGGTTCAGGTTGGCTGGATCAGTGGAGCCGCCTTTCAAACGCATGTCAGGTAACAAACACACACACACACTCAGGTAAACACGGTCCACAGGTGACCCGACTCACCTGGACTCACCTGGACTCACCTGTCGTCTCTCCTCAGTGATTCTGGAGGACTTCGTTTACACGGTGACGGTTTCCGGTCAGAAGGTTTTTGTGGTCAAACGTCAGAACAACCAGCAGGAACCGATCAGTGTTTAAGAGGCGGAGGTCAGGTGGTCTGACGGGGAAGGTCAGAGGTCAACAGCGGGTCCATCAGAGCGACCTGCAGCTGGATGTTTCCGTGTTTGATTCACATAAAGTTTTGTATGTTTGAATTTGTGTATTTAACCTGCGTGACTGAAAATAAAACCTCATGAATCTTTATTTGGTCTCTGGTTTCTCAGTTTGTCCTATAACAGCTGATAAATGTTTACAAAAAGATCTAAACTCAGTGTCAGACTCAATAATCAATAATCAATAATCAATAAACTACAGACGATCGATCATAAAGTAACTCTTTGACACAATCAGTTCTTTTACTTTCTCTAATTTCAGTCTTTGACTTTTATTTTGAAGGCCAGGTGCTGACTCCGGTTCCTCCACCTGTGACAACCTGATCACAACTGATCGATTGATCGCGTTATAATAAAAACACTCTTCGTAAACGGCTGAGAAGAAAAAAAAAACCTTTATTGCATCATCGTCTCTTCTTCTTCACATTGTTAAGGAATGACGACGCCTTCAGGTACGGCTCTGTGGAATGGGTCATCACACGTTCAGGTAACTCACCTTCCAAACCCCGCCCCCCACAGGTACAGTCACCTGTAGCTGACCCCGCCCCTCCTCTTCCATTACATCCTGTCACATGATTCGGAGTTAAAACATGCGGATTAAAACAAAAACAAGGAAGAAGAGGAGGATGATGGGAAATAAAAGTGAGCTCAGAGTCCATGACATCACTTCCTCCTACAGACAGACAGACATATTTATAATTTAAAAAGAAAAAAAAAAAACAGTCCTTTCATATTCTTCCTCCTCTTCCTCTTCTCCTGCTCCTTCTTCCCCTTCCTCCTCCTCTTCGTCAGTTTGATGACATCATTCAGCTGCTTCCTGTCAGGTGATCTAGCGTTTCGACAGCTCGCTGGAGAGCCAGTCCAGACCCTCGTACAGACCGTTACCCTGAGTGGCACAGGTGGCCTGGACGTGCCACTGCGGAGAGAGACAGACAGACAGACAGAACAGACCAGGCAGACAGACCCGGCAGACAGACAGACAGACAGGTGACACCTGTGGAGTAGCTGCACACCTGGACAGGTGGAGTTGTTGTTAATGTAACAGCCTACAGCATCCAGACCACACCTTTTATGTTACAGTGCGCTCTTATTTTTGAAATAAGCTGAATGCTGGTTTTTGTGACTACATTTAAATGAGCAGAGCCTCCCAGAATTCACTGGGGCAAGTTTCCTATTTGTGTGTTGTGTTTGTTACCTCCATTATTGTAGTTCTTTAAATGTTTTCTGTAGTTCTTATAAATGTATTGTAGTTCTTATAAATGTTTCTGTAGTTCTTATAAAATGTGTATTGTAGTTCTTATAAATGTTATTGTAGTTCTTTTTGTTTTTTTCTAATAAATGTTTCTGTAGTTCTTATAACATGTTATTGTAGTTCTTATAAATGTTTCTGTAGTTCTTATTAAATGTTATCTTATTCTTATAAATGTTATTGTAGTTCTTATAAATGTTATGAGCATATTGTCGTAGTCTATAAATTTATTGTAGTTCTTAATAAATGTTTCTGTAGGTTCTTATAAATGTTATTGTAGTTCTTATAATATGTTATTGTAGTTCTTATAAATGTTATTGTAGTTCTTATTAAATGTTACTGTAGTTTCTTATAAATGTTAATTGTAGTTCTTGTAAAATGATTATTGTAGTTGTTAAATCCTTTGATCATATTGACGACTGATTGATGTGTTTCCAGTTGTTTACTTTAAATGATTCAGCACACTGTTATTGTAAGCTTACTTCCTGTCAGAATAAACTAATCAATCATCAGGATCAGTATGGATATGTATTGATCAGTATGGGATATGTATTATCAGTATGGATATGTATTTGATCAGTATGGGTATGTATTGATCCTTACAGTTCTGCTGCGCAGGCTGTGCAGACCAGTTTGTCGGTGAGTTCACTGACCTCCCATTGCGTGGGAAGATCCTGTTTTTTAGCAAACACCAGAATAACTGCCTCCTTTATCTCTCTC